ATAGTACAATGTACATCCTTGGTGAACCATAACATAAAGGTCATATTAAACTGGCCCTATAAGCCTTTTATAAAACATTCGGGTTGGAGTTTTTTTTTCTAATTTAAGTATTACAACTCATCATGTACGCTGTTTGTTATTTAACTATTACAACGCATCAAGGTAAGCTGTTCCTAATTTAATTATTACAAAGCATCAATGTAAGCTGTTCCTAATTTAATTATTACAAAGCATCAATGTAAGCTGTTCCTAATTCAACTATTACAAGACATCAATGTAAGCTATTCCTAATTCAACGATTACAAGACATCAATGTAAGCAGTTGCTAACTCAACTATTACAAGACATCAATATAAGCTGTTGCTAATTCAACTATTACAAGACATCAATGTAAGCTGTTCCTAATTCAACTATTACAAGACATCAATGTAAGCTTTTCCTAATTCAACTATTACAAGACATCAATGTAAGCTGTTGCTAATTCAACTATTACAAGACATCAATGTAAGCTGTTCCTAATTCAACTATTACAAGACATCAATGTAAGCTATTCCTAATTCATCGATTACAAGACATCAATGTAAGCTATTCCTAATTCATCGATTACAAGACATCAATGTAAGCTATTCCTAATTCAACTATTACAAGACATCAATGTAAGCTGTTGCTAATTCAACTATTACAAGACATCAATGTAAGCTGTTGCTAATTCAACTATTACAAGACATCAATGTAAGCTGTTCCTAATTCAACTATTACAAGACATCAATGTAAGCTGTTCCTAATTCAACTATTACAAGACATCAATGTAAGCAGTTGCTAATTCAACTATTACAAGACCAAGACATCAATGTAAGCTGTTGCTAATATTACCCATCTCATGACGCCAAAGGTAAGTTGTACTCACCTGAGACTCCCTTTGTTTGTGGCGTACTTGATGTGGTTACACAACGCCTCGTACATGCCCCTGGCTGTCAAGATGTGGCGGGCGTCAAAAACCTGCGAACAGTGAAATTGTGTATGTCAAAAACCTGCGAACAGTGAAATTGTGTATGTCAAAAACCTGCGAACAGTGAAATTGTGTATGTCAAAAACCTGCGAACAGTGAAATTGTGTATGTCAAAAACCTGCGAACAGTGAAATTGTGTATGTCAAAAACCTGCGAACAGTGAAATTGTGTATGTCAAAAACCTGCGAACAGTGAAATTGTGTATGTCAAAAACCTGCGAACAGTGAAATTGTGTATGACAAATACCTGCGAACAGTGAAATTGTGTATGTCAAAAACCTGCGAACAGTGAAATTGTGTATGTCAAATACCTGCGAACAGTGAGATTGTGTATGTCAAATACCTGCGAACAATGAAATTGTGTATGTCAAAAACCTGCGAACAGTGAGATTGTGTATGTCAAAAACCTGCGAACTAGCAAGGAAGATGTCGATAAAACTTTTGTGTTTAAAAACACCACGCAGTTTTCATTGGCAAAAGATGTGGAGTCACTGAACTGTAACTTGGACAACTGACCTGTAGCCTGGATCACTTATCTATTAGCCTGGACCACAACTGACCTTAGCCTGGACCACTGACCTGTAACCTGGACCACAACTGACCTGTAACCTGGACCACAACTGACCTGTAGCTGCGACCACTGACTTGTAGCTTGGACCACTAACCTGTAGCTTGGACCACTGACCTGTAGCATGGACCACTGACCTGTAGCTTGGACCACTGACCTGTAGCTGGGACCACTGACCTGTGGTTTGGACCACTGACCTGTAACTTGGACCACTGTATCCTGCCGATACACCTGGGCGCGTTCCTCCAGCCCAACTTGGCACCAAAGGTCAGCTCTGCTGTGGTCAGCTCGTAGGTGCCAGTCCGCTCCACAGATTCCTGGATCTCCGTCAACCTCTTGAAATGGTCGGGGGTGTTGTTTCTGTGGGACAGGTTAAAGTAACCGATAACTTCTTTTAACAATAATCGATAACACTGAACGAAAAAAAAACCCACTGTTACCTCGAGTTACCAGTTTAATTCGTTCCGTTGCTGGGTTGTCAAACTGCTCTTATCTTAAAGCAAATTCTAACTCCTTCGAGAGCTCGTATCTCAAAAGTCAGATTTGTCAGCAAACTAGTATACCGAGGTACCACTGTACAAAAGTACCAAAAGACAACATAAAAGCAGATAGTTGGAAGAATATGTTTGCCCTACAGTCGTATCAGCATTATTCTAAAAAATGTTCAGTTCCCAAGGGATGTTTATCAGTGAGGTGGCCGAGACAATCTAGGTGCGAAGTGAGACTGTGCGTGGAAACTAAGACTAGAATAGCTGAAGGTGAAACTAGTTGACTGAAAAGTGAGACTAGGTGTGCACTGAGTAAAACTTGATTTGTGATAAGTGAGACTGGACGTGTGATAAGTTAAACTAGATGTGCGAAAAGTGAGACCCGGTGATGATAAGTTAAACTAGATGTGCGAAAAGTGAGACCCGGTGATGATAAGTTAAACTAGATGTGCGAAAAGTGAGACCCGGTGATGATAAGTTAAACTAGTTGTGCGAAAAGTGAGACCCGGTGATAAGTTAAACTAGATGTGCGAAAAGTGAGACCCGGTAATGATAAGTTAAACTAGATGTGCGAAAAGTGAGACCCGGTGATGATAAGTTAAACTAGATGTGCGAAAAGTGAGACCCGGTGATGATAAGTTAAACTAGATGTGCGAAAAGTGAGACCCGGTGATGATAAGTTAAACTAGATGTGCGAAAAGTGAGACCCGGTGATGATAAGTTAAACTAGATGTGCGAAAAGTGAGACCCGGTGATGATAAGTTAAACTAGATGTGCGAGAAGTGAGATCGGGTGTGATAAGTGAGATCATTCAGGTGAAACCGATAACATTAGTGTTTTTTTAATTTTACAACTAAACGCCCAGTTCAATTTGACAAGTATGGCGTTCAACACGAAATAACTCTAATGACAACATATTATACTAGGCATGCTGCCCAGCTTCGCTTAGGCTTTCGAAAACATTGAGAATTTCATTGCTTAATTAATTCGCCCGAGGGTCGGTCTACGACCTCAAGAGTTATGAAGAGGTTCCTCCGTGGACATAGCTGAAGGTGAAACTAGTTGACTGAAAAGTGAGACTAGGTGTGCACTGAGTAAAACTTGATTTGTGATAAGTGAGACTGGACGTGTGATAAGTTAAACTAGATGTGCGAAAAGTGAGACCCGGTGATGATAAGTTAAACTAGATGTGCGAAAAGTGAGACCCGGTGATGATAAGTTAAACTAGATGTGCGAAAAGTGAGACCCGGTGATGATAAGTTAAACTAGATGTGCGAAAAGTGAGACCCGGTGATGATAAAATAAACTAGATGTGCGAAAAGTGAGACCCGGTAATGATAAGTTAAACTAGATGTGCGAAAAGTGAGACCCGGTGATAATAAGTTAAACTAGATGTGCGAAAAGTGAGACCCGGTGATGATAAGTTAAACTAGATGTGCGAAAAGTGAGACCCGGTGATGATAAGTTAAACTAGATGTGCGAAAAGTGAGACCCGGTGATGATAAGTTAAACTAGATGTGCGAGAAGTGAGATCGGGTGTGATAAGTGAGATCATTCAGGTGAAACCGATAACATTAGTGTTTTTTTAATTTTACAACTAAACGCCCAGTTCAATTTGACAAGTATGGCGTTCAACACGAAATAACTCTAATGACAACATATTATACTAGGCATGCTGCCCAGCTTCGCTTAGGCTTTCGAAAACATTGAGAATTTCATTGCTTAATTAATTCGCCCGAGGGTCGGTCTACGACCTCAAGAGTTATGAAGAGGTTCCTCCGTGGACATTTTTTTTTCGATTTATAGCTCATATAAGGTACCGGTCAGTTTTGACCCCCTCATCGTAGACTTTTCGGCCAACCGGCCCCCGTGTTCTGTCGCCCCAAGGCAAGATCCTGCCAAATTTGAAGCGCCTGCGGCGCCGGGAAGTGCCCTATCGGACACCCGACAATCTAGATCTAGATCTAGATTCCTAATAGAATTTTTTTTTTTTAAGTTTAGCCCGGGCATAATAAAAAAAAATGGACTTGGTGTGTCTCGAACCCGCACCACCTGCGTGGTTTAAAGTACACTAACATCTCCGCTATTTAGGCACCTTATAAAATATGGAGAATGAAACATGTATTTTAAAATCTTAACTTACGCGAATATTACTATTCTTTCAAATTAATTTTTTTATCCCAAATTAGCCAGTTCCAAACAAAGATTTTGTATAAAATAAATAAGTCTTGAAATAGTTTAGTCCTAATATAGAAATTTATTTTTGGAATAGATTTTAGAGAAGTTAGAGTCTAAATCTAGATCTTAGCGTCTACGTCTAGATCTAGTTATTGCGTAGATTTAGATTTAGTCTAGATCTAGATCTAGAATGTCTAGATCTAGAATCCAAATAAATAAAATAAATTTTATGAGTTTAGGCCGAAAAAATTGTATTGTATACATTTCATAGTGTACGTAGATCTAAATCAAATTTGAATGAAATAGTTCATTTCTTTTTATTGTAAACACGGCACATGACGTCATTAGTTAATGTATAAACATTAGTGACGTCACAGTATTATGCGTTCTTTTTCACATCTAGAAATGCTTTTCCGGTTGCATAAATAATACTGTTTCTCTACATTCGAATACGCCTTTATTTTTTATTTTTCTTCTTTAAATAAAATTGTGGTTATACATTTAAAACATCTAACATATTAATTTCAACAAAAGTCCGTATAAAGGTATCCATATATCGCTGCCGATTCTGACGTGATGTCCGGCGAAAATATTTTGCGGACAGATAGAGAGAGAGAGAGAGAGAGAGAGAGAGAGAGAGAAGTGCGCACATGGGGAATTATATATTAGGATAGTGGGCCTACAAGTTTAGCTAAGCAAAAGATATCTTTAAAAAAAAAAAAAACTTACTGATGGAGAAGCAGTACTCTAGTTGGAGATATAGTACTGTTCCATGAAGTCTTCGTGACGTCAACAAGAAATAATGACAACATGTATACAAGTCTAGGTGAGTAAAAGATATCTTAAAAGACCAACTTTTTGATGGAGGTGTAGTACTGTTCCATGAAGTCTTTGTGACGTTCAACAAGAAATAATGACAACATGTATACAAGGCTAGGTGAGTAAAAGATATCTTAAAAGACCAACTTTTTGATGGGGGTGTAGTACTGTTCCATGAAGTCTTTGTGACGTTCAACAAGAAATAATGACAACATTTATACAAGACTAGGTGAGTAAAAGATATCTTAAAAGACCAACTTTTTGATGGAGGTGTAGTATTGTTCCATGAAGTCTTTGTGACGTTCAACAAGAAATAATGACAACATGTATACAAGTCTAGGTGAGTAAAAGATATCTTAAAAGACCAACTTTTTAATGGAGGTGTAGTACTGTTCCATGAAGTCTTTGGCGTGGATCAAAAGCTCTTCTGTAGACCGCGGGGCCGCGGTGGGCCGGTGGGCCATCATGGACATGAGGGAGCCCATACATCGCTCACTGTTACACGGCACCGTCTGGAAATGGTCAAAAGGTGTGTTTAGCTCTAAAACCAAACTGTCATTCTAAAGGTGTTTTGCACTAACAGCCTATATATACCTATTTATGGTTCATGTATCCCCATTTGTTTTTGTTTCATGTGCCCCTTTTTGTTTCTTTTTCATGTGCTCCTATCTATTTCTGTTTCATGTGCCCTTATCTATTTCTGTTTCATGTGCCCTTATCTGTTTCATGTGCCCCTATCTATCTCTGTTTCAACTGCAACCATCTAACTAAGTGCCTATATGTGTTTCTGCTTCACTCTTGTGTCCTTATGGTCTACGACAAATTCCCGAAAGGAAATTTGCCTGAATGTGACTAATGTCCAAATGGACAATTGCCCGAATGAACACTTGCCCGAATTGACACATGCCCGAATGTGCCAAATACGCAAAAGCCGGCTCCCGTGTCCCTAAAACTAAGAACAATATGCGAGGTATGATTTTTAAAATTTTGGAGTCTTCGAGGGTTATCGACAGGGGAGGGAGTCCTGTCCAGGAAACCACATTAGGAGTACAATCAGAGTTTCTTTCAGGCATCTCTTCAGGGGGGATGCAGAGACCCCCCCCCCCCCCCCGAAGAACGTCTATCACCTTCCCCCGAACGAAAAAGAATGTATATAGAAACTAGCGTGCCCGTCCCCGTGCGTTACCGCGGAAATGGAAGAAAGTCCGACTAAATATATAATAAGGGTTTCATCCATGCGATATCAATCCTATATTCTTAGACGCGTGACCTTGTTTTGTAAAAGTGCGTAATTGTTACGGGTCAGTGTAGGTTAGACTAGAATAGGATAGAATGATCTAGAATTAGGGGAGAGTGAGTGTGTGAGTTGAGTTTACCCTAGAATATTGTTAACCCCGGTGTGTTTGTGTATTGTTATCCCAAGGTCGAATGCGGTATAAAAGCTGGAGTGAATGGTTGTCAGGGTTAGTTAGTTGGCAGTCAGCGGGTTAGTAGCGGTTAGGACGAGGGCTGTTATGGTACGCTTGAATGCATTGAGACAAATAAAAGGAGTGAAGTTATACACGAAGCGTTGTTCTTGAATTCGAAGCTAACCCGGACGTAACAACTGGTGGCCAGTATTAAAGTAAAGATAGCGCAATCATCAGAACGTCATTACCACTGGATGTCACCATCACTAGACGTCACCATCGCTAGACGTCACCATCACTAGACGTCATCATCACTGGACTATACCATCCTGGGACCATCAGAACGTCAGTACCACTGGGAGTCACCACCACTAGACGTCACCATCGCTAGACGTCACCATCACTTGACGTCATCATCACTGGACTATACCATCCTGGGACCTTACCTGAACAGAAAGTCGCAATCAGAACGTCATTACCACTGGACGTCACCACCACTAGACGTCACCATCGCTAGACGTCACCATCACTAGACGTCATCATCACTGGACTATACCATCCTGGGACCTTACCTGAACAGAAAGTCGCAATCAGAACGTCATTACCACTGGACGTCACCACCACTAGACGTCACCATCTTGAGACTTTATCAGAACAGAAAGTCGCCATCACTGGGTTCTACCATCCTTGGACATTATCAGAACAGAAAGTCGCCATCACTGGACTCTACCATCCTTGGACTTTATCAGAACAGAAAGTCGCCATCACGGTATTCTACCATCCTTGGACTTTATCAGAACAGAAAGTCGCCATCACGGTATTCTACCATCCTTGGACTTTATCAGAACAGAAAGTCGCCATCACGGTATTCTACCATCCTTGGACTTTATCAGAATAGAAAGTCGCCATCACTGGACTCTACCATCCTGGGATTTTACCAGCACAGAGCCTTGCCGTCACAGGACTTTTGTCTTTGTCGATCCAGGTCTGCGTCTTCACATGACCCGGCCATTACAGGATTTACCATTGTTTTTGAAGGGCTAAAGTAGGGGAAGGGACTACTACAACAGATTTGTATTTGAGGTAAGTGTTTTTGAATTAGTCTGGGGCACGGTACTCACAACCGGGGATTACCCTTGCATAACATTATATTGGGTATTACAATTTTGGCATCCAATCCTAAGTGGATAAGGTGAGATGGCTAGCGAAGGCTTAACGCTAGAGCATTTTATAGCGTTAGGGGAAAGATGTAAACTAGAGGGAAGGGAGCTGTTGGAATGGGCTGAGACTAAATTGTTAGAGGCGGAGGCTAAGGCTAGGCAGCAGGCTGAAAGGGACGAGAGGGCTGCAGACAGGGCACTAACTAGGGCTAAAATTGAATCAGAAGAAAGACTAAAATTGAAGGAGCTGGAACTAGCAATGGAGAAGGGGAACAGGGAGGAAGACATAAAGGGCAGGGGTAGGGCACAGACCCCAAGAATTAAGCTGACTGGACTGAGAAACAGTAGGGACCAAACAGATATGGAGGTGGTGGTTGACATTTTTGAAAGGGAAGCCCGAGAAATAGGTTTAGAAGATAAGTTTTGGTGCCACGAGTTTAGGAAAGTTCTGCTAGATATAGGCTGCGAATCGTGGTTAACAGAATTGGGAGCAGAAGAGAATTATGGGAAGCTGAAAAGGGAGGTCCTAAAACACTTTGGTTTGACGGAGCAAGGATACAGTGATAAGTTTAATAGCGCCCAACCATCAGAACAAGACAGAGCAGGGAGTTACATTAGGAGGGTACGACACTACTTGAGAAGATGGGTCGAAGCTAGCAAGTGTGACAAGACATTTGACGGACTGTTTGACCTACTCTTAAAAGACAAAATAGTGAGAACAGTCGGACAAGACATAAGACAGCACATCCTCAGACAAAACCCGAGGACAATAGCAGACGTAGAAAATGCCTGTGACAACTACTTTGACATCTACCCAGACAGAAAATTAAAACCGATCGACGTGACAGAGGACGCATTTGTTGCCCCCATGGCACTTGCATCAGGATCTAGGAATCCCTTTAGAGAGGACAAGGACAAACGAACCCTAAGACCTAGATCTAAGAGCCCCATTAGAGAGGAATGGGTCACAAGAAATGAAGTCACCCTTCAACGGGAGAGAAGAGGACAAAGCCCGGTCCAACCTAGGCCGAGTAGTAATATTAGTCCCAGAAGAAGCCCAATCACATGCTTTAACTGTGGGGCTGAGGGGCACATAGCGGCGGGGTGCCGGTCCAATCGTAGACAAATTGGACATGAGTACAGAGGGAGAAGGGTAGGCTTCAGGGACATTCAAGACATTTGACTAGTACCAGAGTTCAGCGGGGAGTGCGGCGACTGTGGACAATGCCTAAGTCAAGTAAAGGGCGCTGTCCCTGTAGGGAACATTGGAGCTAATCGGAGATTCATAAGCGACAGAGGGACACTTCCTATAGTTGCAGGAAAACTGGATGGGAGGACGGTGACCGTCCTACGGGATACGGGCTCTGTAGTCGTAGCTTGTCGAAAAGCTCTAGTCCCAAGGAATAGATGGACAAAAGAATGGATAACCATAAAGACCGCGGATGGAGATAAGAAAAGAGTACCAGGAGCTGTAGTCAACATAGAAACACCATACCTTACGGGAGAGTTCTTTGCCGTCCTTTTAGATGATCCACCCGCTGAACTTATAATAGGGAATGTAGCAGGCGCGAAATTACCGAGGGAAGATTCGCTAACATTAGCGGCGGTAGAAACCAGAGGACAACTTAGAGCATGGGGCAACCAGAGAAATGAGCCGGGGCATAAGATTTTAGACCAAATAACGACATCGAAAGATTTTAAAACGCAACAGAGCGAAGACAAAACATTAGCTAGGTGGTGGAAGCTCGCGGAAAAAGGCAAACAATGTAAAACGATAGATGGGTTATTATATAAGATCATAAAACACAGCAAAACAGAAGATCAGATTAGACTAGCAATCCCAAGGGGACTTAGGCCCACCATCCTGAAATTAGGACACGACACACCTATGGCGGGGCACATGGGTGTAGCAAGAACGAAAGCCAGAATTCTGTCACAATTTAGCTGGCCAGGGGCAGGGGAGGATATCAGGCGTTACTGCGAAAGTTGTGATGTCTGCCAGAAAAGCAAAAAGAATGTTGGTGGCAAGGCGCCTCTGGGTAGAACTGAGGTAGTGGGACAACCGTTTGAGAAAATCGCCGTAGATATTGTGGGGCCACTAACTCAAACGAAAAAAAAGAACAGATTCATACTCACAGCCGTAGACATATGCACACGGTGGCCAGAAGCCGTACCGCTGAAAAGTGTAACGGCAGCAGAGATCCAAGATGCGCTACTCTCCATCTTCACGAGGATGGGATTCCCGGAAGTCATACTCTCAGATAACGGGACCCAGTTCACGTCGGAAATTTTCTGCACCGTGTCTAAAATGTTGGGGATTAAAATCATTCACGCTTCGGCATATCACGCCATGGCCAACGGGGCGGTAGAACGATGGAATGGAACTTTGAAGGAAATGCTAAAGAAAGTAGCTATAGACAAGGATGACGATTGGGACGTGTTCATCCCAGCAGCACTTTTCGCCTACAGAGAAGTTCCAAACGAAAGCACTGGTTACCCGCCATTCGAACTTATGTTCGGCAGGAAAGTGAGGGGCCCGATGAGCATCCTAAAGGATATCCTCACAGGAGAAGTAAGGGAATATAAGACAAGAGCTGCATATGACTACCTGCTGGACCTTAAGCAGCAGTTGCAAACGGCATGCAGTTATGCAACCCGCAAATCAGAAAATGAGAAAGATAAAGCAAAGGGCTACTACGATAGATCAGCAACAACCAAAGATATCAAAGTGGGGGATCATGTACTGATACTGAAGCCCCAACTATTAAACAAACTTGAGCTAAGGTGGGCGGGACCTTACGAAGTCTTAAAAAAAATCGGAGACTTGGACTATGTTATTAAAACAGGGGACAGCACTAAGGTGGTCCATGTAAATCGGATGATGCTGTACCATCACAGACAAAAACCAGACGACAGCAAGGGACACCCCATGTTAGCGGCAGTGTCAGGAGTGGTGGAGGCAGAAGAAGTAAACCAAGTATCACTAACAGATGAGGAGGACATGGAACCGGGTATTCCATTGGACACAATAAAAACTCCTGACATACTGGAGGAAACTAAGTTAAGTGATATCAAAATAGGAGACACCCTGACAAAAACACAGCGGACGGATCTAGACAAAATTATCCAAGAGTACACAGCTGTAATTAGCAACTTACCTGGAAAAACAAGTTTACTAGAACATAAAATAAAACTGACCAACACCAGAGCAATAAGAACGAAACCCTACTGCATACCATACGCCCGAAGAGAGCTTATGAAGAAAGAGATGGACGAAATGGAGAGACTGGGGATAATAGAGAGGTCCGACTCCGACTTCAGCGCACCTGTAGTACTAGTTAAGAAAAAAGATGGGTCGACACGGTTCTGTGTAGACTATAAGAGACTTAACGCAGTCACAGTCTACGACGCGGAACCCATCCCAGATACAGATGAGCTGTTCGCTAAATTAAATAGGGCAAAATATTTTACTAAACTCGACCTCACAAAAGGGTATTGGCAGATCCCCATGCAAAATGACAGCAAAAAACTCACCGCATTTGTCACACCCTGGGGCCTATTTCAGTTTAATTACCTGCCCTTTGGCCTATGCACGGCACCCGCCACATTCGCCAGATTAATGCGAGTCGTATTAAAAGACTTGGAAAATGTGGTGTCATTTTTTGATGACATCTGTATCTACAGCGAGACATGGGAGGAACACCTCATGGCAATAAAGGCGGTGTTCAATAGATTGAGGGACGCGGGCCTGACAGTAAGACCTGCCAAATTAGAGCTAGGGTTTGAAAAAATTAATTTCCTAGGGCACATAGTGGGGAGGGGGCTACTGACACCAGAGAGAAACAAGGTAAACAAAATCTTAAACGTAGCAATACCCACCACAAAGAAAGAGGTAAGATCATTAGTGGGTCTTATAGGGTATTATGCTAAATTTATACCAGAATTCAGCGAGGCCAACGCAATACTGACAGACTTGTTAGCAAAGGGTAAACCTGAAAAGGTCGTGTGGTCAGATGAATGTAACCGTGCTTTAAGACTGGTCCAGAAACACTTGAACTCAGAACCATTTCTTATTTTACCTAATATTAATGAGCAATTTATTCTCAGGACCGACGCCTCGTCACGAGGTATCGGGGCAGCCTTGATGCAAATGAGAAATGGGGTCCTGAGACCAGTAAAATACATCAGCAGGAAACTCCAACCGAGAGAGACTCGGTACTCTACTATAGAAAGAGAGTGCCTAGCAATTGTCTGGGCCACAGGCAAACTAGCGTTGTATTTATACAACGCTAGCTTTGTACTGCAGACGGACCAGCGTGCTCTAAAATACCTTCATAAATGTAGGTTCAATAATGCCAGACTGACACGCTGGTCCTTACTGCTACAGGAATATAAATTTACTATAGAACACATTCCGGGGAGGGATAATCTTCTAGCGGATTTTTTGTCAAGAAATTTTAAATCGGGAGTCTGAGATGTAAATTGTAATTTAAACCACAGATTTGTTGGTTTGTTTTTTTTGCTGTTTTTTTTCCGGTTATTTTTACTCGGTTGTTTGTCTTGGATTCATGTACACAGAGATGTATAAATGCATTATTTATTTACTCTCCTCTTGGTGTAGTATACCTGTCAAATCATTATTTTTTATTTTTTTTGTTTGTTTTTTAAAATTATTTTATTTATCTATTTATCTATTTTGTCTCTGTTTGTTTTCGCCCTCTAGGTTAACTTAGGATTTGGGGATTTAGTTAGTATTTGTAGTATGTACTACAAATACTTGGGTGGGGGGTAGTGTTACGGGTCAGTGTAGGTTAGACTAGAATAGGATAGAATGATCTAGAATTAGGGGAGAGTGAGTGTGTGAGTTGAGTTTACCCTAGAATATTGTTAACCCCGGTGTGTTTGTGTATTGTTATCCCAAGGTCGAATGCGGTATAAAAGCTGGAGTGAATGGTTGTCAGGGTTAGTTAGTTGGCAGTCAGCGGGTTAGTAGCGGTTAGGACGAGGGCTGTTATGGTACGCTTGAATGCATTGAGACAAATAAAAGGAGTGAAGTTATACACGAAGCGTTGTTCTTGAATTCGAAGCTAACCCGGACGTAACAGTAATTTAAATGTAAACAATTCCTGCGCTTGGATCACAAATATCGGGACACGGGTTTACCTACACTACCGCATGAAATCCTTGATTGTACATTAATCACTCACCGAAATAATGAGGTAGAACACACTTCGGTGACCGACCATGCTTCCCCCTCCCCCACCCCCCACGATTACACTACCTTATAGGCGCCGCGTACGACCCTGGCTCCTTAAAACTGTCAGGCGCCATCGTGCTCATAGGATAACCCAGAGTGACAAACAGCATCCTATTAACAATGATGCAGATTGCTAAAGTGACACAAATGAACAGGATTTTTTTCTTTAACACGTAAAAAAAAATATGTGACGTGTTTTAAACATCAGTGTGACTGATGCAAAATGTTAGCGTTACTAATGGTCTATTATTAGATGATCGATCTCAATTTCTGATTGGATTGTCTAAAAATAGATGCTTATTGCATCATTCGCAAAGTGACTAAACTGTTTGATTATTTTACGGACAAAAAGAAACATCCCAGTTAATGATCTAACCTTGGTTAATTTTTCTGATTATTAAAGTAAAACGTATTACATGGCCTTCAGCAGCCCATGTAAGCCTTTGGGGGCCGAAACTGAAATTTTTTTTGCAGCCGAATCTCACCCTACAAGGGCGCAGGTTGACACACCTGATTCAATTTAGTAAGCGTTTGTAACGCCCCATCTTATCCATTGTCTATCACACTGTTTAGACCGAACGTAGTTGCCATAGCGCTCATGGGAAAAACCAGGGCGCCAAATCACATCCTGCCAGGGGTCACCATGCAAAATTAAATTTTATGGCGATCGGATGAACGGTGTAAAACCGAAATCGACGTTATTTTATATACCGTATATAGAGAAAAAAAAATAAATCGCGCCCTGCAGGGGCGCCACCCATGAGAATTTAAAATATATTTTTTCACAGAAACCTTTCCATGAGTATTCTTAACAACTTCCCAAAGCTTCCCAAAATTTAAACCACTCCCTCCCACCCCCCCCCCCCCCCTCACCGTAGAAAAATGTCTTAAAGAAACGACAGATTCGATTTTTATCTTTAGATTGTCTAACTCCGCACCACAACAGATCCAACAACCAACACAACCAACCTACCGTTATCGCCTTCTGGTGCAGCGTGTCCACGTAACTTCTCTCGTCCAGCAGGTTTTCGACCTTGGCAAATTTTTTGGAGCTGTCCATTCTGGTGCTGACCGAACCTCGTCTGTCTGATGACTTCCGGCGCCCGAGGGTCGGGGAACTTATTCTACAGACAGGAGAAGATAACTTATTTTGTTTCTATTTATAGCCCAGCGGTTGAAAAAAAAAGTAGCAATGTCAAAGCGTCTAGAGAGTACAGTTGCACAAGCCGTATACTACATCCTACCTACAGCCATTGGCGTCGCTAGGTCGGGTATCACCCGGTGGGGCACCTCATGGTGTCACCTCCCTTTATTTTTGTCCCTGTAAATTTTGCAGTTGGTGTAACCCCTCTTCCCCCCCCCCCCCCCCCCCCACGGTAAAAAAAAATCTTTAAAGTATTCACATTTAATACTAACGATATTTATCTAAAGGCAGTTGTTATTAGTGCTGGATGTAGCATCGTTTTCTCTATAGTTTGCATGATTACGTTCAGTTGTCACCCCCCCCCCCCCCCCTCTTGCCGAGATGGTGATTGTGTACATTAAGTACATTTTCTCTTGGTGTCACTCTCCCCCCCCCCCCCCTAAATGGCGTCACCCGGTGCGGTCCGCACCCCCCACACCCCCGTTTCACGGCGTCACTGCCTACAACATCCTCAAAAAATTTCACACACCATTTATACCCGGACCTTGGAATAACAATACAAAAACACACGGGGTTAATTGAATTCATGTCTATACCATCTCGTAAGTTCTAGAATATTCACCATGGGATAACAATACAAAAACACACGGGGTTAACTGAATTCACGTCTATACCATCCCGTAAGTTCTAGAATATTCTAACCTAACCTCCACATAACCCGTAACAGTGACAACAAATCGAAAAACGCAGAATTTACTGTCAACACCATGTGTTGTCCAATTAAAATAGTAGGAGAAGGAGTGACAACAAAATAAAACTGTTACATTTTAAATTTGTTTTGGTGTTGGTGGAGGGGGGTCTACACCCTCAATTACGACACCAATGAGTGACGCCCGATCTAGTGACGCCACTGACAGAGAACGATAAGTTCAAATGATGTAATAGAAGGTAAGCGCATTGAACATACATTGAGAAACGACATTACAATTTTTTTATAAATTTCATAAGAAAAAAATCTATTTTCGAAAATAGCAATTCGGATTGCAATTATTATTATCTATATATATATAATTCTCTTCTGGGAGACGCTAGAAAACAAGCTGTAAACGCGCTCCCTACCATCCCCACCCCTACATGGTCTTAGTGAGCTGTGGTTCACGCTATGTTTACCTTCGTGGAGTCGGGTTTAGTGACGGCTATTAGGGGCAGATAATTTAGTTTGAAACGATTTTAAAAGTTGGGGGGGGGAGGAAGGGGGGGGGGGGGTTATGGTCCTTAACGAGCTACTTATAGTGTTTTAAAGAAATATTTTCAGTGGCAGCGTTGGTAGTGTCGAATTCACAAATTATGAATTACTGAAAAGTAGAAAAAACAACAACTAAATAGCGGCGTATGATATGCCGCGGGCCGGCTCGTATTGTTTTAAATTTCCACAAACGATCAACTGATTTATCTTTTAAAAAGCATAACTATACAAACATAAAATTCAGATAACAAAATTTAAAAACATACCTTTCTAAATAGTCTACTCTTGTAAACTTGTTAGGGTTATAGTGCTGCTAGATCCAACGGAAGGCGCAAGGTTAGAATAGATATGTCACTTTGTATTTTGTTTGTATGTGTGATCGGTCCACGTAACACTTTTCGATCTGACAGAGAAAGCTAGACTGATGTAATTTATTCACTAGTCGAGTTTTATAACCGAGGTCAATTAAAATCACATTTGTTTTAGTGAGAGCGCGCATTAAATACAGAGGGAAGAAAGCTTCTGATTTGAATATACAACATTCATTTAGTTTGTAAGCAACAACAAAAAAAAAAAAGATTGATAGGAAAATTTTAACGATCGTCGTTAATAGAAAATTGGTGGCCTACTAACAGAAAATTGGTGGCCTACTAACAGAAAATAAATTGGTGGCCTACTGGTAAGCCCTTAATCCGTAACTGTCAATGAGTTATGGCTTTATCACTTCTTTTTTTTCAAATTCTTTTGAGATACACAGTCTTATCATTGATTCTCAGACCTAGCGCCTAGGTTAGGTTTGAATTATAATTAATATTACTTCAATACATAAAAAACAACGTCACTAACTGATCTGTTACTTCAAATAACTAGAGCCTACAACAGAGTTTCTTCCAGGCATCTCCTCCGCCCCCACCCCCACCCCCCGAACGAAATAAAATGTATATACAGTGTCCGCCCCCCTCCCCCCCAAGAAAGTCTACCGCCCCCCCCCCCCCACCCGAAAATTTCTAGTGTCCCCCCCCCCCCCCCCCCCGGAGACAAACGTCTGGAAGAAACACTGCCCAACATTCAAAAACATTCCTACCTAACGTTGTTGTAATTTCGAACGATGCAAAAAGCCGAACCCGTAAGCCTATACATTTTTAATTATGTTTGGTTTACGGCGTTATAGGCTTTGCCTATCACTAGCGGGTCCTTGTGTTGTTAGCTATAAGACGACTTATTCATAAACGCATGTGCTGGGTCAATATAACGTGTGGAGATACACCGTCAACATCTGGCTCTTCTCAACTTAGTGCCCAAGCTCAGTGGCGTAGCCAGGAATTGGTCATGGGAGGGGTTCAAACATTTTTCCACATTTATACAATCCTATATATATATATATATATATATATATATATATATATATATATATATATATATATATATATATATATATATATATATCGGTCCATGGGAGGGGTTATACCCCCTTTACCCCTTAACCCCCTCCTTGCCTACGCCACTGCCCAAGCTTTGTACTTGTAATTTTACAATGGCTCAATCATCCAATGGTCTATTAAAACAACGGAGCCATAGTATGGTGTAAAACTTGATTTTTCTAGCCTGTTGTGTTACGTCAGTGTTTTATTTTTCCTAAACTTGTTGATTTTCAGATTAGGGGGACAGTAATTAAATTTATAACATTAAGGGAGTGTCGCTTTATGAAAACAGCTTTTGAGCAGAAAGCATTGAGAACCGATGTTAACGTTAGAGGGAGGCTGGGGCGTTTTGAAGTTATTTCATGGGGAATAACTCATGTTTGCGTTGTTTACATTTGGTTAAGTAAAATAGCTTGTCATTTTAACGCTCCGACGGTCACTTAATTTAAATAAAACAGAAGTCTGTCGGAAAATTAAATTTAATATGTAAGTGCAAATAAAAAATCAGGGCCCCTTTCAGCCCCCCTCCTCACCTCCATTATTTCGTCACAAAGTAATTAGATCTAGATGCCCTATACCTAAAAACACATCTATCTAATGACATATATGTAAAGCATATTTCCATCCCTTTCCTAGTAATGTATCTGTTGAGCAAAATTCGGTCAGGCATTTTTTCCTCTCCTTGCTAGGGTTAGTCTATAATGCTTTTAGTCTAACAAGTGAATTTTTATTTTATTTTTGGTTACCACGCTTTCAGATTCAATACATTTGAATTGCTTGTTTCTTTTTTAAAGGATGGGGGTGTGGGTGATTGGGGGGGGGGTCAATATTATGCCTAAACTTATTTGCCAGAATTCGGTTGCAGATTGTATATTTTTAGCTCTAAAATCAACTAATTTTATTGTCGTAAGCGAACAATCACACAGACACCATGACACAAATACTGTAAGACTTAGAATTTGCTGATGATATTGCCTTACTATCACACAGAAACCATAACACAAATACTGGAAGACTTAGAATTTGCTGTTGATATTGCCTTACTATCACACAGAAACCGTGACACAAATACTGGAAGACTTAGAATTTGCTGATGATGTGGCCTTACTATCACACAGAAACCATAACACTCAGGAGAAATGTAGCCTACAGTTTTGAGCGAGAATAAAAAACTAGTAGAAATGAGAGATAATCACCAAAAAGTAAAAATATTTTTTTAAATGTATCATAAACAAGATGGGGATGTAAAAAGGAGAGAACCAAACCATACATCAAGTCAGAGGCGTAGCAAGGGGGGGGGGGGAGGGGGTTGCGGACCGCACAGGGTGACACCATTTAGGGGGATGACACCAAGGCAAAAATTAGTAAAATATATAGAGAAATAAACCGGGAGTGATCTCCCCTAAACTTTCTCGAATATTCTTATATAAAATAACAGGGGATGGGAACTCGGGCTATAGACTTCTAGACATGATTTTTAATCCATTTTAAATACTTAAAGTTTTAAAAATAGAATAAAATCTCGTAGACAAATTAATTGCACACCAAGTGAACGCGAAATAAAAAAAAGCGCATAATAGTGCGCAATATTATTAGTACTTTAAAAATTTACATTAGTTTTTTGAGAAATCGGAAGTAGCGTAAATTACTACTTCCGGTCAACGGAAATTACTCAAAATTTAACAGAAGGTAGAGAATTAGATCTTTTACTTACATGTGAAATTTAATTTATCTATCTGAAATAGTACTCAAGTTATAGGCTTTTGAAAAATTCAAAGTAGAAAAAGTACCACTTCCGGTTGTCGGAAATCGCTCAAAAGTTGATACGGATCTACGATTTTGATAAAATACTTATATATGAAATTTCATCAACCTAGCTGTAACGGTACTCAAGTTATCGTGTTTACACACGGACACACACACACACAGACACACACACAGACACACAGACATACGGACAAGATTGCAAAATTATGTTTTTCCGTATCAGTGAGATGCAAAACGTCGAGATTTGCAAAAATCTCGATTTTTTTTTTTTGCACGATTACAAGACTTTCTCTATACTTCGTATATACGAGAAAGTAAAAATTGAGGAGGGGGGGAGTGCAAATCAAAAGTTTGACGGGGATGCAAATCGAAAGTTTGAATTGAAGGGGGGGGGGGGTGCAAATCGAAAGTTCGAGGGGGGGGGTGCAAATCGAAAATTGAAAGTTTGTCCCTGAGGGGGTGACACCATTAAGTGCCGCACCGGGTGACACCCGACC